TTTTTAAGTGGGAGAACCTGTACAATTGGTGGCTGACTAAATACTTTTTTGCCCCACTGTACCATCCTCTTGTGCCAGCTAGAAGATGAAAGTTTTTTACTAGTTTCTTGAAGCACAGGAGGGATGAATGAGACCACTAGGAGGGAGTTCCAGAGATGAGAGCAGTGATGGAAAAAGTCCACCTCTGAGGCCTTGTCAGAATCTCAGAGAAACAGCACCTGGAGATAGTTAACCCTATGAGACCTGGTTGGTTGGGTAGATGAATGCCAGAAGATGCAGTCTCTCAGGTAACCAGGATCAGAGGTATATAGAGTCTTAAAGGTGACAACCAGCACCCAGAAGCCCTCTGTTAACCAATGGAGCTCCCAAAGCAGAGGGATCATGCAAATATATTGGAGCACACTCATAATTTCCTGGGCTGCCACATTCTGTACCAGCTGTAGCTTCCAGATCTTCTTCAAAGGCCACCCCCATGTACAGCACATTACAGTAATCCAACAGGGAAGTGACTAGGGCACGAGTGACCATGAGTAAGGGCTCCCCATGAGAATGATTACAAATGATGGGCCAGATGTAGCTGTACAAAAGCCCTCCTAGCCATATCTACCACTTGCTCTTCAAAATCAAGGAACAGAGGCAGACGTATGCACAGAAGATCACTTCAGTCCAGTCCAAAGTCCCAGGTGTCTTATTATTCCAATGGGTAACCAAAGTCTCAGCTGAACTGCCTACCAGACCTCCAAGAGTTCTCTGAAAACTTGTGGGATCCATTAGGCACCTGGGGTGGACCAATCTAATGGGCCCTTCCCCTCTGTAGAGGAGAGGTCATTATGCCAAATTCCATAGCACTCAGAAAGTGATCTGTCTATAAGGGGTTGAACTTCAACACTCCCCACTTTCAGATCATGTTGCATTCCTCCTGAAATAAAGACCAGATCTAGTATGTGACCTTTAATGTGTGTCAGGCCCTCAATAAGTTGGGTCAGATTCATGGTTGTCATGGCTGCCATGAACTCATGGCCACTCCAGACCCCTCACCAAGGGAAGGCAGGTTGAAGCTAACTGGGGGAACTCCACTGCCAACCCGGCAATCAAGTCAAGCAGCCTGCCCGCTCTACAGCAGAGGGAAAAGTACCCAAGTAGCAGCCTCAGCTGGTCCCTCTGGCCCAATTGCACAAACAGGGTCTCACTTCCATCTGTTTCTGGGATAGCACCTCTAAAGGCCAAGAGAGTATAGCAGATGACAACAGCTACTCTCTTCCCTTGCTAATGGCTGGTTCCTAACCCAGAGCCCTGGTGGGTAAATTTCTGAAGGAGACCCTGTGCTTCTCCCTGAGAAGGAATACATCAACACAGATGTATTCCAGGAGACACACTGTCCCAAGTTGCCCCCTCCTTCCCAACGGCTGTAAAAGAAGAACCTTTCATCAACATCTGCCTCCAGAGCAGTCTGGACAGAACCAAAATTCCATGTAACAAAGTCCATCAGAAAGAATTCCAAACTAAAGCCTGTTTAATGTCAGTAGCCACCAACCCAGACTTCCTACAACATTTACAGTACCTTCCTAGGGGTATAGTCTTCTTCCATTGCTGGTGAATCCAGACTTGGATGTAATGGACTGAGAAGCTGCCAGAATGCTGACAGTCCTGAATTTCAGGACCAGGGATTATTCAGAGCTCAGGTTCCCTAAATAAGATTCCCAGGCACCAGCTGAATCCAATAATCAAATCACAGCATTGTGTTTTTTCTGTATCAGGTAAGCTGAACAAGGCCTCTGCAGTTGCTCTCCAACATTCCTTCTGTTGAGAACCACCAATGTTGCCTCTTTTCAGCAGGGTTGCTGGCTGGTGCACTAGCCCTTCTCCGACTTCCACCAACATCTCAGCCCCCAAACTGAGGTGTCAACCCCCCATTACACTTTCCAACACGTCCTCATAGCCGTCCAACACTCAAACCTCTTCAAACCACTTCAGTTGCAGCACCATAATGGGGGGGAAAAGGTCAGTCTTCCCTCAGAATGAATGGAAGGCAGATAAATGGAAAGAGGTTGTAAAAGTTACTTGGAACTAAGTGAAAATTATTGTATTACAGTCTCATAGAAGTGTGTAGAGTTAAGTTAATGAGAAGTATGCAAAAGGATGCTTGGTGGAATGAGGGACTAAGTGTAAGTGGGGCATCACTACCTCCACCTTCTGGAGAGCCCCATGCCAGGAAGAACAAATGCAAACATGTTAGTCTCTCACTGCTTAGCTTGCCCTGCCCCTTACCTGCTCTGGAACCGGTTGTTGTCTAATTTTGCTAACACCCCTGGTTGGAAAAAGTATGCTAGAGATTTGTATGCAAATAATAGTGATATGCCAAGAAGTGAAATTAAAACAAATCCTATAAAGATTAGTATTCAAGAAAGAAATTGATGAACAAGAAGTCATAAATAACTCTGAAAATATTGTAAAATGATGAGAATACAAGTGCAGATGGTATAACTGGAAAAATGTTAGAATGTAGGTATGGTTTGCTTATGGAGTGGGTGTGTGACTTGTTTAATATATGTGTGAAGACTGATGCTTGGAAGAGTGCTGTTATTGTTTACCTATACAGAGGGAAAGGAAGCAAGCGTACAAAGGCTACATGGGGATTAGCATGCTTGAGAAGGTGTTGGCAGGATTCTGATCGAAAGGGTAGAAGAGGCAAAATGACCAAAATTTGGGAAGTGTTTTACCCTAGGCAGGTCACTGAGAATTGTAAGTGATAAAATTAAAAGGCTTGAATTATGGAAAGTTTTGCACTGCCATGAAGTTGAAAGTTGGTTCACAAATGCAGTAAGGGCAGTATATGATGGAAATCATGTGTGAAAATAAATAGAATCCTTAGCAAATGATTCAACATTGAGCAGAGTAAGACAAGATGTATGAAGTCTCCTTGGTTGTTCAGTATATTTATGGAAACTCTGTAAGGAATGCTTTTGATGCTTGGAGGTTTCAATGTACGTACTTTTGTATGTAAAGAATGCCATGTTGTTGGCTAAGAACTTGAATGATTTGCAGTAAATGTTTGATAGCCTGTATGATGCATCAAGGAGGATGGATCTGAAAATGTAGCAAAGATTAAGATAGTTTTACATTCTAGAGTAAGGAGATTAATTGTGAATCCTGGTAGAATGTTTATTGAAGACGACAAAAATGGATTCAGAAATTTTAAGATGTGCAAATGCTAGTACAAAAATACTGGATAGTATAGAATCTGTTGTGAAGAATGAATGAATGAATGAATGAATGAATGAATGAATGAATGAATGGGAAAAAAAGCAAAAATATTGTATATAATAAACATGTTTCTGCCCACATTGTTATATGGATGTATGAGTTGGGTATATCATGAGAAACCTAAAAAATAAGTTAAATGCAATTGTTTCATCATATATTTTTTATTTTATTTTTATTTATGTATCATTTATATAGCCGCCCATCTCACACAAAGTGACTCTGGGCGACGTACAACACTATAGAGAGAGAGAGAATGAAAAACAAAATTCTTTACCTGTACAGTCATTTATATTTGCTATATTCTAGGCAAGTTATAAAGCAAATAATCAAGAAGAGTGAATGGATTGAGAGGAAGAGGGAGACTGAGAAAGTGTAGACATTTAAAGTATAAATGGCAGTGTATGAAGCAGTGTATGGATGTGGTGGATGTGGAAGCAAGTTTGGGGTTTTCTTTAGATTTGTTTTATCCCGCCTTTATTATTTTTATAAATACCTCAAGGCAGCAAACATACCTAATATTCCTTCCTCCTCCTA